TGGAAATGTAGTCAAAATGAAGTATATAGTTCGCTTTCTACCCGTAGCACGGCCAATGTTCCTTTTTGAGCACTTAATGCAAAGAATATCGACAATATCGATAAATGTTGTTGTTCAGAAATCTCTGCCAAGAACTTATATCCAAAAGTTCGGAAAAAATTCAAAACCTAATACCATCTCTTGGAGGAAAGCAGAAAATCTCAAAGTCAAAAGGAATCTTTTTCGTGCGGTTCAAGGTATACAAAAAAACTCTGATGCAACGGTATAGTGTCCATTTCATTAGATATTACATCAAGAGATGCAAAGCGTAGGGTTGCCAGATAATGTTATTGAAGTGATATGAATTACAAATTCGAATGCCAACTTCTATTTTCTGAATGAGTTAAATGTACATTGCGAGTAATAATAAATAAGGAAAATCGATCAAGCAAAAACAAACTCTTGATAGATACGGACTCACTTTTTCAAATGAAATATCAACGATATGAAACGGCATACTTATAATCTTGTCTGCCTACTTATAAATAAATCAAAAATGCATCATTAAAATGCCAAGAGATATCCAAACGATGTACAAAAACTTCAATACAATATCCTTGATTGAAGGAAAGTGGATCGCGAAATGATTCCTTATCGCCATTCAGAAGTACAAGGTAAAAAGCGGCCATTTCAACATTTTTGCAGTGCCTTTCCATATCAGTAATGACTTTCCTAAGCAAGGAATATTTTAACATTAAAAACGATTCCAATGTATATGGAGGCAATCAGTTATGCTTTTACATATTTATTCATCGAGTTTCCAATTATAACAAAAAGTCAAACTGGTTTAACTAGGTAGGTACAGGTGGAATTTATGCTCTATTGAGGTAGTCCTGATGTGACGAATTTAATTTGTACTTATTAGTATAATTTTACCACAGTAATTAATTAGAAAAAAGGATGTTTATAAACATAAATGTAAAATAACAATTATTAGAGTAAAACATGATTACATCCTTCAAACACTCATTATACGGTTATTACTGATACAAAAACTGATTTGTCCATGAATATAGATATAGAGTTTATACGAAACGTATATGGCACCATATTTATTCTACATCAAGCTTCCTTAACAAAAGAAAATATTGACCAAATATGACTTCTGATTGATATCCGTTAGAAACTCATTAACCACATTAACTATTTTCATCTTATTAGGTTAATGAAGAAACATAGAGATCTGAAAATCAATGGTTGGTTGGTTTCAAATCATGGGTTCAGAGTTCATACCACATGCAGATGACCTTGAAATATTGTTTAAACTAATAATTTATCGTTGAGGATAAGAGATGATGAAGTAACTTTGCATGGTTAAAGGATCTATGAATCTATAAAAAGTTATATTTCTCTGTTCTAAACTGACATATTTTACTTTGACTGAACTGAGTCAGTCAGAGTACATGCCTTTGATCTAATCAAAGTGTTGAGCAGAATAAAAAAGCGCACATTCTTGAATTATTTCATTTATTTATTACATCATTCAAAACATTCATAATGTATAACTACTATAATAATGACAGTTTGTCAACAAATGATGAAAAATGCCTTGTTGTCAAATTACAACTTCCCAATTTCAATTTTCTTTTTATGCTCGTCTGTTAAATGATCTCTAAATTCTTCATTGCATCGAAATGAACTATTACAATTGTTTTTCAAACATTTATAATTCCACTTCGACACATCATAGGATTTACGCTTTATGTTTCTAGTGTGTTTATTCAGATTAGTTTGTGTGTAGAATAATTATATTCGTTGACAAACAAGGCACATCAGACTCATTTTCGAAGCAGCAAAGTGCAAACCATTCAGACAAAATTCAAACAAAACACAACACAACCTCAATTCAGCTCGTGATCTATTATAACCAATAAGGGCCTCATGTACCACGTGATAAATTGTAACCAATGAGGTTTGGGAATGTCTCCTAGGCTCTAGGCTCTCGTCAAATAAAAGGTAAAAGGATTGTGAAACTATCTTCGGTTGAAGCTTTTGTTGAGGCAATGACTGGAAGTATTCATTGACTCCATATAGAATCATCTCAACCAATATCCCAAATAAAACTGGTGATTCAATGGTTTTTTGGGTAATCCTTTGTTTTTTTTCTCATCCATTTGCCGTTGATTGTGAGCACATTGCAGCTGTATGAGTTCAAACTCGAAATAATCGAACTACAATGTGATAGGTATGTGATGAAACTCTGAAACATCTATTCAACAACTTATGAAATCTTGATTTTTATAAAAGTTTACGAAAAGCTAATTTCCCAAATTTAATAAAACACGCTCAGAGAATCATGTCCATGTTTGGGTCTTCATACATCTTCTACAATAAAGCTGCATAAAAATATTCTCCGAAAAAAGATGACTAACGAACATCATGAATACGTTTTGCGGATAAGTTCGAGTGAAATAGAGCCAAATTTCGATGACATGATTAATAAACAATCAAAATTTCATTTGTCACACAAAACTTCTACTTTTTTTTTTCCAAACAATAGTTACATTGTTAATTGTAAATAAATATATTCGGCCCGCCAAAGTGTTGTGTTATTTCATACGGCCCCACTCTCAATCTATTTCCCCACATCCCTGGGATAGGCCCTGCCCCCTCAAAATCGATCGGATAAATCGATCAGGGTGCTGAGGGGGTGGTAGGGAGTCAGGGGGTTTTCTTCCTGGCACTGGCCGTCTCATGCACATTGCACACTCTCGCAGGGCATTGCCCAACTGGCATCCGAGGTCCGAGCTAATGGTCACGATTCGGCCATTTACCTCCGGCAGAGAGACTTATCGCGGATAAATTGCCGCAGTTCGAATTTTCATGTCAGCACACAATAGATCCCAGATACAGCGGACCGAGGCATCTAGCAGGCTGTGTGTGAGGTACCAGTGACAGTGGATGAAACAGCGGGCGCACGGTTCGAGAATGACGGCTGATTTATGGGAACAAGACGGTGGCTGTGATTAGAGCCTATAGCCATAGCACCACTATACGGGAAATATTGCCACAGCGGCTAGTGAAAAGCGTATATTATAGTAGTATATTATGTAACTGTAATAGACTCAGTCTTCCTACTACTCACAAAAATAAATGATTTTCCAAATTTCTGACTTTTCTATATTTATTTGTATTCATTGACACGTGAAAGTTAACGGAAGTTTGACATCCAGTAAAGATCCAGTACCTGACGTACTAGAGTACCACTTTTGCGATTTGTAGAGTGGTGAGAAATCGAAAAAAAAACGGAAAAACCACCTTAGAGTTTTCCGATTTCCTTCATATTTTAATGACATGATATTGTTTTGAGTACAAAAAGATGGCGAATTTTCAAGTCGATATGTCAAAGGGTTCCGGAGATATATCGATTTATGATTACCACAGAGTAGAGACAGACAGACCACACACAAAAACCAAAGTTGCTCAAAATTCTATGGGGATCATTTTCTCGAAAGTAACTATACCTCTATCTCGCTTAGTTTCCGAGATAGCATTTTTGGCAAGGCCGTAGTATACTCCACTATATAGGTATAGCGTCGCATAACAATACTCATATTTTTATTTTGTAGAAACGAGGAAAGCAAATCCCAAATAATCAAGAAAAATTCTTCAACCCATCGAATGAAGGCATCATCCTCAGGTTTCTATTCACGGGTCTATCAATTATTGTATTTTAGATACATCTATCACAATATCTTCATAGTCCCTAGCAAACGTTAATCGTAGAAGTTTATTTGATTCGGCCTCTTCTCTTCTTCATTTCGTATTATTGTATTGTTTCATATTCAGAGCTTTTTAATAGTAATCAATGTTTTTGACATTGAGATTTTGATATCAATCGAGTGATAATAAGATTTTCCCTCGGACTTTCCTAAGTGAAGAGATGTATGTCATTCAACCCAATATTCAATATGAGTACCTATATGAGTATCAGTTGATTCCAGCAGTAAAATTTATCTGAACTAAAACAATGTTTGAATTTACGAATTACATAAGTTTTGTTGTCATTGAACATGTGGACTATCTGTTGTTTATGAACTATCACTAGTAAATATTGATCGATAAAGATATCTTTGCATTTTGGGAATGCTGTATTTTTAAAACATTTCGTATCTTGTTGTGTCTGAACCATGAGGTCACTGGGAGATCAAGAATTATCACATCAGACGAATCGAATAGTCAGAAAAACGTGGGTGAGTTCTATACTGTATGTCTACGATGAATGATGTGGAATGATAAGAGAAATATAGCATCAATAGATTGACAAGAGGCTAAAAATGTATATGGTAGTCACAATATAATAACTCCTATCAATTGTTTTGAGTAATTCGTCAGTTTCTCTGGATACATTAGCAGAAAAACAAAAATAACTTCCAAATAATAATATATTAGAGCTTGTTATATTGCAACAAGCATCTCATCACTTATGCAGCAAGATATATTCAGACACATCGTTTGAATTGCATACTACAATTGGATCTTCTGTAAACGCAGTAGATTTTGAACGATATAATAACATTGTTTTCGATAGGATAAATATCAAACTGAGTGAGCAAGTTCATTTGAGTAAAATTGAATCAATCAAGATGAGCATTCCTGAAATAAGAAATGACAAACTGAACGTGATTGTTCAGAAGCTATCCGAACTCTCTATTTGATTATCACATTGAATTAACAGCATCATTGACAGAAGCGAAATGACCCTGAAGACAGAAGGAGAACAAGGGTATTGAAGATGCAGCCAATGGCATTCCTGAAAATATACAATACAGTCATGGATATCAGAGAAACCGTATATCTCATAACTTGTGCAATAGAAAAATAACGATTCCTAGGTTTCATCGGTTATTCAGTTTGTTTTCAACAATACTCCTATATCAATAGATATTGAGGTCTTCGTAATGTTCGATTCCATGCCTTTCAAAAGTAAAAATAACATCCAAACAACTAAATGATCTCACCTATAATAATCCTTCTTGCAGTAAATATTCCCGTCCCTCGAAAAGCAAGTGATATCCCCGTCCAGCGTCTTCCTGCACTGGCAACACTGCAGACAGCTGGTGTGCCACCTCCTCTCCACCGCCTGCAAGTAAAACCTGTCCGCTATCCTCATTCCGCACCCCGCGCACATCGCACCCCCGCTATCCTCCAAGCAGGGCGACGCAGGCGGAGTATTCGACTGCAGCGGCTCTATCTTTGGTATGTGCTGCTCGAAGGAGGAGTGCGGCCTGCAGAGATCAGCGGGGGTTAGGGACCGAGACGGTAAGTGCTGTGCCGGCTGGTGACTGGAGACGTGCGGCTGTCGGCACACGTCCGAACCGCACGACTGGTGGCTAGAGCCGCACGACTGGTGGCTAGGGCCGCACGGCTGGTGGCTAGAGCCGCACGGCTGTCGACAAGCGTCGGAGCCGCACGACTGGTGGTTGTTGTTGGAGGGAGTGCTGCAGGAGCTACCGCTGGAGAGGCTGCGCTCGGGATCGCCCATGGAGGAGTCGCAGGAGGGCAGGTTGGGGGAGAGGTCGCGAGACGGGTCGTACACCGGGCCAATGTACTGCTCGTGCTGCTGCTGCAATAAGATGAAGCTGTGACATCAATCAGTTCAGCAAATTGAACAAAATATTGATATACCGGGTGACACATTGTGACAGTTTTTTTATTTGAAGAGATTGAAATATGAAATTCACAAGGGTTATATTATCGATAATGGCGCTTCCCTTGAACCCAATGACAATTTTCTTCATCCACCAGTTTGATTGGAAGTGGATTGGATTCACAAGTAGCCAAATGAAAAAAACTGAGTTTCTATCTCAGTTTTCTCAATATCGTGAGTTATTTTCGTATGATTTTTTTAAACTAAATGAAATTATTGGCAATCTTCTGGGACCGATTAGGGTATTGAGAATATTCTGATAATATCGTCTGAGTATCGATCTTTGGACTCCAAAGTCTATAAAGCATCGAAATGTCATTGTATTCGGGCCACAGTCAACTTCATGTATTTCAATAAAATGCAATTCAACAGCAAATTAATTAACGAATATCAAATTGTGATACATTGTTGAATAAATAATTTCATGGCAAATGAGATCGGCTACAGAAAAATACAGGGTGCCATTTGGAAAAAAAAGTTGGGTCAATCAAACAAGTGGTTGAAGAGAATTGTAACTGGGATCAAAGAAAGCGCCATCATCAATAATATATCTCTTGTGGATTTGAAATTTTTATCTCTTTAAATAAAAAAACTACAGGCTGTTACATGTCTTCCGTGTCAACCGGTAGATATTGCTTGCCTTTTATTACATAGATCAAGCATTGTTTCGATGATGATCTAATATAGCAAGTAGGACATTTCGAGAAGAACTTTCAGAACTTTAATTCGAATTTCTCAAAATGTGGATATGTCTCTTTGTCTGGAATAACCGTTAGTTTTTTTGCTATCAGGTCTCCCATACTTCCTCAGTGGAGCTTAGTATTGTTTCTGTTTCAAATTAACTATGACCCAAATATACCTATGAAGAAAAATACTTTCATGAGCAAGATTGTCCTGAACATAAGCCAATGGGGAAGACCACTGAGGAAAGAAATCCGTGCAAACCTCTTACAATCGACGAATCATGATTTACGTTTTATGTACAATCAATATTATGAGTTGAAGTTGAAGGAAATCGAATCTATATCGTTTTGGAATCAGCATATTTCATTCGATATTTCAAAAAACCAAATATAATGGTGGAGCCGTGACGTATTAGTCCCGAACTGTAGCTATCTCTCTCTGATACCTCGTCATTCTGCAGTGTTGCAGTGTGATTGGTCAGTTCAAGGACAATAGACGTGTTGGGACTAAGACGTTGCACCAGTCACACCAATGAATTGACGAAATTTCAAATGGCGTAGGAATTGTGTGTATTGAAATGGACATATTCTTATTTATTTTTTTCATCGTCTTAGCATTAATGAAAAAATTCAAAATAAATTCACTGGTACCAGTCACAGTATAGAGTTCACGATAATGTCGATTCAAAAAATCAGTGGTCTCCCCCATTGTGTTATTGGAAAAGTGTGCTAGATTCAGGAATAGAACTTTTGAATATCATAAGATATTTACTCTTGACAAACCCTGTACCTGTAGATTATATCTTGATAAACATGAAGAAATACTCTGTGATGACCATTGTGCAAAATGAACCTGGAGATATGCCTATTGCGTTATTGGGACAATGGCTGGCTTCAAGAATTGAACTCTTCAATATTATAAAATATGTCCTTCCGTGTACTCGATACATTTCTGTAACGATTTCTGTAACGAATTTCATAACGAAACTTCTTCTCTGAGAAATTGTATTCTAATCATCGTTTTATACAATTCAGACATGATTCCATAATAAGTTGCTATAGCTGATAATACCGATATAAAAAATGCACTTATAGAGGTAGGGCGACTGTGATTACTGAATACCTACTTGAACAAATTATGGATTCATCTATGATTCAAGCTAAGTTAGAACAGCTGTTGAAATTCAAGTAGTTTATCTGAGATCTAATGCCAACTATGATTACCTATGTGGGTACAAAACGTCGCAATAGAGTGACTTGAAGAATATTTTATTTATGAGCTGCTATATTACTATTAAGTTATTAGAATAATAACAAGAAAGTGCGCTAAGGACATGTCATTAAGATGGAAGATATAGAGATCGTGTATTTGTGATCCTGTGAGGAGAAAATGCTGAGATTTACATGAATTATCAACACTGTGGGAAATAAATCGAGGTACATGTTAGAACTCCAGGTCACTATAGATTTCTCAGATCTATTAAAATTTGATCTTACTGTAATGAGTGATTTTCAGAAATGCAATGACAATGAAACCAGACCTCTTAGGGATGTCTCTATTTACATTTTTGGTCAAGTCTTAGTCTCTTTCATGATATATTCATGAATAGTAAAACTACGAGGAATCAAAATTTTTTGTCATCCACTTAGGGCCTATTTATGCATCATTGTCTCAGTCTCATTCTTAGTCACAGTCTTTGTTTTAATCATAAAATCCAGTTATGAGCATACATTTCAATAGGGGAAATCATGCAACATTTTTAGTCTCAGTCCAAATCACAATCATTAAATCATGACCCTGATAGTTACAAACTTTCAATTTTTTATGCTTATGATTGAGACCACATAAGAAATACGCATGTGTAGCCCTATTTGACAATCACAAATGACTTTCAATTTTGTGTTTGTCACCCAAAAATCATTGCTATTTGGTACTATGTCAATAATTGATTACATCATTCTGGTAATTTGATTAAATTTCATAACAAATATCAAAAAATCATGAGCCTGGAAGAAGGAACCCCTTATATATTTGGTGGAGAAATTTCCCCATTATCGGGACAAGAAAGACTCAAAATACAAAGATAAAATTGCAATAGACAATTCCTGGAAATCAATGTCACATATCATGGCATTGACTGGTGAATAGATTAAATTTTATCTCTGGTGTGTAGAATTTATTTTTGTACCTATCTACTGACGGATCTCTCGACATTGTCAACTGTCATATCATAATTCTTAAGCCTAAAGACTGTGATGCATAAAGGTCCATATATGATAAGTTCATAAAGACAATGACTAAGACAATAATGCATAAATAGGCCCTTACAGAGTATAGACTGCTATTATAGCCATCGATAGTTATTCATTCATGTATGCATGAAAGTAGACTTGACATATTCGTGCCCAGGATTCGATGATCGTTTTATTGATTTTAAATCAACCGTGAATAATCTCATCTGAGACCTGATCAATCAAAATAATGTCCTCCACTTTCATCAGGTGTGAGAGGAACACAAATATTTTCATCAGAATGTGTTATGTGAATAATAAAATAGTGAGAGCAAACGTATGATTCTGGTTTTGTGAGGAAAAGGGTTGTCATCAATTGACCATATCCTTGAACTGTTATTTTTTTATGATCATTATAATTTCTTTATTCCAAATTTTTTGGGATTTTCTCTCCTCGTTTCTATAAAATAAAAATATGAATATTATTTCAATATACGTGTAGTAAGGACAAATCAGATGATTTGCCCCAAAATGTCACTGCGTTTAAAGAATTTTCCTATCAGAGAGCCTAAAAGAAAAATTCACTAGCTTGTCAGTGACAATTTGTATTGAAAAAATTTTTGGAGAAGGGAAATAAAGGTATATAGAAAAAATATCAAATTTTCACTTATCTTTGGACGTTTCGGGACCGGTTCTGCTCCCGTTTTCAACATAAGAAGAGATTATTTCAATAGCGAAGTCGTATAACGTCTTGAAGCTTTAAACGCAGTGACATTTTGGGGCAAATCATCTGATTTGTCCTTACTACACGTATATTGAAATAATATTCATATTTTTATTTTATAGAAACGAGGAGAGAAAATCCCAAAAAATTTGGAATAATGAATATACCACCTCCTCGATTAACCTACAGACAGTATTATAATTTCTGATTGAGGATTCATATTGTTTTGAGAATTTCAATTGAATGTTTGCTCACATGCCAAAAAAATTGCGATGAACAAAAAATAGTCATGACAGAAAATATTATCATCTTGCAGAGCAAAGAAACAGGTCAAGAAATGATTGGTACTTCAATGTACGTAATGCTCGAATACCCCTGATGATATTGGAGCTAGTGTGTTCTGCAAGGAGCTGAAGATTGAAATGTTCGTCTGTCTTGTTTTCAACGCTATAAATCTTTCAGGAAAAATGTGTCTCTATAGAATTGTGTTTTCATGCTACCGACACAGAAGTCGTCCAATTGAATACCAAAATTACGGACACAAACATAGGTATGATGCTAGGCAACAGTTTGAGTTCCTGGGAGCTGAAGTTGAACCGCAGATTTTGCATCTCATACCCATGCTGGATATGTAAATACACCATATAGTTGAGTATTCTTGTTCTGATCAGGAAAGTCTTCTAGATTCACATTCTTGCTCGATCTGTAGTTCATTCGATATTCTCGGAATCTAATTGATTGGATAACTTGTTTTTGAATAATCACGGCCATCAGCAATACCACAACGGTATTGTTTACCTTCATTTGATTGTCAAGCCAAAGACAATGAAATATGGAGAGAAATAATTGATCGCTATTGTCATTGTTGATATGCTCACTACATAGTAAAAAACCGCTTCGAGTTAAATTTGTAGAGTATGTTTTTAGAGTTAAAATAATGTGACATCTCACTCTAATACTGCAATCAACTCTATTACTACACTTCTCGCAGATTATCTCCTTCGAAACTAATTCTAGATTGAATTTCCACTATTCTAGTATTGAATTCACTCTATATTTATTTATCATTTATTTATTTTGATTCGATAATTTCAATAAAATATCAATTCAGATAACTCAATTCACAAACAATTGAAATTTAATTCATACTAGTGTTTACTGACACTAGTGATCTTGAATATGCCAGTCATTGCCGATCAAATTGACACTCATCAAATAAAAAAAGAAAAAAGAATATCAATTTTTTCACCGGATTGAATTTTGGCCAAATGATCCTG